GGGGGAGTGAAAGTTACTTCGCGTGAAAAGTTTAACGTTTCTGAATACGGAAAGGTGTAGAATAGTACTTAACATCATACATATATTGCAGATATAATTCAAAAGTATTCATAATTATATATTTTATTACTATTGAATAAATTATTCATTGATCGCGATATGGTGAGTAAAAACGAACCATTATATTAAAAAATACATCAATACATCGCTTGGAAGTCAGGCTGTATAATAAAAATAAAACGTAATTTTTCAAACTTTTTTTTATCATAACTTTTTAACGAAGGGCGAGCGACGGCTAAAACTTGTTAGAGGTTACTCAGGGTCATGACGTTGACAACATATGTCAAGGTCAAGGTCGTTGGAGGTAACTCCCCTAAAGTGAACAATTACCGTATTTTAATATTAGAATTTTTTTACTAATATCTTAGGATCTTATTTAAGATGATCTTAAAAGAGCATCTACAAATACTAATATACTCATATATGTCTTTAATAACATTACTTGAATGAAATACTATATTATACTTACCATTTCGTAGTTTTTGATGAATTTTAGTGGTTTCAGTAATGTTATATATAACACCCTCAATTATATATTGCTCTTCCTTATACATGTTTATCAAGGTTACACCCTCTATTAAAAATAAAAAAAAGTTTAAAATGTTAAAAATGTTTAATATGTAAAGTTGTTGAATAAAAGGGCGAATGAGACGCCACGAGCATGTGCCCGTCACACGTGTCACCGGGTAATCCGTCAGTAGCGATGTGGTCGAGGGAAGTAATTGACTTCTTCTTATTTCACATTAAATTTATTGCCGTTCACTGGGATACAAAATTGTGTTGGAGCGAAGGAAATCACACGTCGAATGCTCTCGAAAGATTTCCGTTGTTGTCGTAACGGAAAACGGACTTGTACTCGCTCTGTACGTACACGAGAACTCTGTACGCCCTCTCTAATAATGCGTGTCGCGCCGAAAGCAACTAGACATGCGATCATGACGCGAGACCGTGCATGCCGCGAATACAATCCTCGCGGACGGTGAATAATACATAGCTTATGCCTTAAACTATGAGAACACGAAGTAAATAATGAAAGTTTGATTAATTATTATACAACGCCACCGCCCTTGAAAGGCTCCGCTTTCAAAATGTAAACGAAAGATGAAACAAGAAAAAGGAAACGGCAACTGGATCGTCACCGCAACGCAAGCTCTCAGAGCCTTATAAAGTTAGAAACGAATTAACGTTGAGAGTTGACAAAATGTGCGACGCTGCATGCCTGATATGTGCAAACGCAAACAATTTTGATGTGCTTAACCTAAGTTAAGTATAATAACATGATAAAGTTTTGCGCGAAAACAGAACATATTTGATGTCTAGTATTTATCACTGGAGTCATCTATAGGTAATATCGCTATCCTAGTCAACGGTCTTGTAAGAACACTCTTTGCTGTTTTTATGTCAGCGGTTCTTACAACGCCGTCTGTGCCCGGATGGACGCCATGTACGCGCCCTAACAGCTAGTGAAGAGGGTGTAACCCTTGTTGTTTTATCAGTACGACTTGACCGATCTTTAATAGATCCCCCTTGCTAGTCTTCCATTTGGAACGCGCTTGTAAGGTGTGGAGGGATTCTGAACTCCACCGTCGCCAGAAATGTTGCCTCAATTGTTCTACGCGTTGCCAACGAACGAGCCCATTTTCGCTATATGTCGCTCAAATCGTGGCAAGGAAAACTGTCTATGGTAGTGCCGATTAGGAAATGTCCGGGGCTCAAATAAGCGAGGTCATTGGGGTCTTCGCTCAATGGAGCGATGGGCCGTGAATTTAATATCGCTTCTGCATCGCATAAAATAGTCTGCATCTCTTCGAAAGTTAGATGAGCATTGCCGATTATACGATATAAGTGGAATTTTGCAAACTTTATCGCGGCTTCCCAGAGTCCTCCACAATGTGGAGAGTTGGGTGGTATGAAGTTCCATGTTATTCGCTGTTCGCGCAAAAATAACTGGATTTCATTCTGTATACACTCTTTTTCAAGAAGATTAGAGAATTCGCGCAAACGATGACGAGAACCTACGAAGGTAGTGCCATTGTCTGACCACATATGGGAAGGCTTCCCTCTGCGCGATATAAACCTTTTGAAGGCTGCTAAGAACGTGTCAGTGATTAAATCACTAACTAGTTCTATGTGTACCGCTTTAGTAGCGAAGCATACGAACATGGCGATGTGTGTTTTGTGAGTGTGCGCGTTTCTGCGTTTCCCCTCTCGTAGGGTTAACGGACCGGCGTAGTCCACGCCGCAATACGAGAATGGTCGGGAAACAGTGATGCGACTAGGGGGTAAGGAGCTCATAATGGTTTCTGAATGAACAGGCTTAACCTTAAAACATTTAACGCACTTTAAAATGATTTTTCGTGTTAGAGATCGCAATGCTAGAGGCCAAAACTGCTGTCGGACGGCGGCCATCGTAGCCTGGGTGCCGGCATGTAAGCTACGTACATGCGCTTGCGTGATGATTCGTCTTGATAGTTCGTGATTTTTCGGTAGCAGCACCGGGTGACGCGCGTCCTGTGTTAGATTTGAATGTTTTAATCGACCTCCAACTTTAATTAATCCATCGTCGAGAAATGGATTGAGTGTCAAAATCCCGCTGGATGTATTGAGGCTCTTGTTGCTGCTCAAGGCCTTGTACTCCTCGAGAAAGGAATGCTGTTGCACAATCCTACACATTAGTTGCAATGCTGCCGTGGTTTCTTCGTGAGAGACGAAATGTGTTGTAATGCCTGCAGGTCTTCGTAAGAACCTCAAGCAATATGCCACAACGCGACAGGCTCTGTCAAGGTTTGAATGATTGTTGAGTATGTCTTCTATGACACTGGTGTCAACGACTGCAATGTTAACGTATATTTTTCGAAGTTCGGAGGTGTCCTCCTGACGTAGAAATTGATTGGCGCGCCAGAAATTCTCATTGTGTTGCAGAAAGTCGGGACCCTTCCACCAAGTGGTTGCATGAATTAAATCGCTTGGATTTGAACCTCGTGAAAGTAAGTCGGCTGGATTTTGACCGGACGGTACGTGTCGCCAATCCGTCGCTTGAGTCAACCGTTGTATTTCTCGTATGCGGTTTGCAACGAAAACTGAAAACATGCGTGATTCCGAGGATATCCAGCTCAATGTAATTGTTGAATCCGACTATAAATACACCTTGATGTCAGACGTATCTATTGACAATCGAACCTTGTCCATCAGCCGTGCCAGTAGAAGCGCTGCAGATAGTTCCAGCCTTGGCAATGATACAGCCTTCAACGGCGCAATTCTTGATTTGGAGCAAAGAAGTTCTGAACGATACTTGTTCGCATCGAGCTCAGTCCGTATGTACACGCAGGCTCCATATGCATTTTGACTGGCATCACAGAAGCCATGTATTTGTATATGTTGACGTTCAATGCTGTATTTGACACGTTTGGGAATGGCTAGTCGGTTGAGCTCCGTCAACTGCGACTTGAAGGTGATCCATCGTACGTGTAGGTTCTGAGGAACTGACTCGTCCCAATCGATGCCTGCTCGCCAGAGATCTTGCAGTATTAACTTGGCGATGACTATGATCGGACCAAGTAAACCTAACGGATCGTATAATTTGGAAATGTCCGATAGAATTTTGCGTTTTGAAATTGCGTCATGTAACATGACAGGGTCGTATGAAAAATGTAACGTGTCTGTGTTGGCGTTCCATTTGATCCCCAAGATGTGAGCGCTTTCGTCGTCGTCGATGACAACGGGTTTGTCATTTCTATTGGGTGTTGCGTCCAGCAATTCCGGGGTGTTGGAAGCCCATTTTTCAAGCTCAAATGCGCCTAGCCTCAGTAGTTCGATCGCTTCATCTCGAAGAGTCTCCGCTTCTTGGATGGTGTCTGCACCGATTAGTAGATCGTCGACATAGAAGTCGCGCCTTATACACGCTGATCCAATGGGAAACGTGGATGAATGATGATCGGCTAGATGTTTAATGCACCTGGTTGTGAGAAAAGAAGCCGATGACGTGCCATAGGTCACTGTCATCAGTTCGTATGTCTTGATGTCCGCCTTGGAGTCGCTGCGTCACAAAATTCTTTGAACAGATGTTTGCGAAGGGTGTATAATCACCTGTCGGTACATTTTTATGATGTCTGCGATCAAAGCGTGAACGAAGGTGCGGAATCGCATCACGATTGACATCAAATCTTGCTGCACCATTGGGCCGACTCTCAAGACGTCGTTTAATGATAATCCTGTGTCGCTCTTACTTGAAGCGTCGAAAACGACACGAATCTTGGATGACTGTTTAGCGCCCTTGAAGACGCCATGATGAGGCAAGTAGAAAGATGCTGTATCCTCAAGTGGAGACACGCTGACTTCCTTCATGTGTCCTAGTTTCAAATATTCGTCCATGAAGTGGACATATTGGTCCCTTAAGTTGGGATCTCGTATGAACCGACGCTCTGTTCCTTGTAAGCGTCGCAATGCGATGTCCCTTGTGCTGCCAAGGTTGCCGATTAATTCTTCCTTGATTGGAAGTTTTACTATGTATCTGCCCTGTTCGTTCTGGCCAACGTTAGCTTCGAAATGCTCCTCGCAGTAAGCATCGTCCTTGTTGTTCACGACTTGATTGCCGAGATGTTCAATTTGCCAGAACCGTGTTAGTTGATCGTGCAGTTGAGCATTGGATATGACTGTGGTGAATGCTCGCACGTTTTCTGCAGGCGCCGCTGTGATGCTGCGACGTCCAGCCAGAATCCATCCTAATCTTGTTTTTTGCAGAGTTGGATGGCTGTGAGTGGCCTCGATTTGTCCTATGCAAAGTAGCTCCCAAAATATTTCTGCTCCGATCAAAATGTCGACCTTGGAGGAAACGTTGAAATGGGGGTCCGCTAGCTTGAGGTTTCGAAGAATGTTTTAGTCTTCACGCCTTGAAGTAGTCAGTGGAAGCTTCTCGGTTATCCGATCTGTTACTATGCAGTCTATCGTCCTACAATAAGAATTTAATCTGGATTGCAGTGTTACCTTGGTCGCCATTGTAGCATTTGATGAGATACTGTTGACACCAGATATTGTGACATTTAGCGGGCGTAGCGGTAAACCGAGAGTTGCGGCGAGTTGTCTAGAAATGAAACTTGCTTGAGATCCAGAATCTAGTAATGCTCGTCATGAATGTGATGTGCCATCGGAGGCAATCACATTGACCACAGCTGTGGAAAGCATGATGTGATCTTTGCCTTGAATGTTCGACGAATGTGTCGTTACGGCTGTCGAATTGCTTAATATTTGTAAATTAAAGTTAGTACTCGATTTTATAGTGCAAGTACATGGTATACCTAGTAGCGAGGAACACACGTAGACAGTGATTTGATGATGAACTGCTTTCTTAGGCACAAACGCGATGTCGCAGATTTTGCGAACGAAACAAACGTGATATCGCAGAGAAAGCGATAAACAAGCTGAAGGAAACTGAAAATGTTATTAAAAATTATTTAATACACAAAACTATAATTGTCAATAGTTACAAGACGTAAACTAAGTCCATTTCTACCAGTATGTTGATGTTAATATACGTATACATACATAATACCAAAAATGAAGTTATAGCCATTATAAATATGGTCACGTGATAACAGTGATCAGACCCGTTCAGCAGACTCGATCATGATCAATGGGCGCTCACGGATCCGCTCCACAACAGTTGAGTCTGCTGAACGCGACCATTTTGTCTGAATTAAGGTACAGCATTATTATTTGATAATATATCTACTATCCGGAATGCTGTTGAAAAAGTGAACAACAATACTTCAATCGAACGATTCAACCGTATATTGAAGAATGACATGTGGAAATAGTTTACTTACAACGGAAACTATAAATGGATCGAAATGCTGCCACGTCTCGTGTCGGATTACATACAACACGCATCGCACTATCGACATGCGACCCGCTGACGTAACTCCCGCGATCGCCGAAAGACTCCTAGGCACGGTGTATAGTGCGATAAAAATCGCGGGTCCTGCAAAATTCAAAGTGTGTGATGCGGTACGCGTAAGCAAGTTCAAGACAATATTTGAAAAAGGTTTTACACCGAATTGGACCACGGAGGTCTTTAAAATTATCAAAGTGGAGCAAACTAATCCAGTGATGTATCTACTGGAGGATTTCCGCGGAGAGCTCATAGCTGGAGGATTCTTCGAATACGAACTGCATCGCGTCGCTAATCCCGATGTATACCTTGTTGAAAAAGTGTTGCGCAAAAGGGGAAACGAGGTTTATGTGAAATGGTTAAGACTGGACAATTCACACAATTCGTGGATACATAAAGACAATATATTATAAAATTATAAAATTATACATTATAAAATTATACATTATACATTATAAAATTATACGTTATATAAATTATATTATACATTAAAGTATATTAAATATCCTTTACAAATATATATTACATTTATTATACGTTTTATACATGTTATACATATTAAACATCATATAATAACTAATGTAAAACTTTATCTAAACTCGGAATTTTATCCGTACGATGATCTGAATCTAGACTTTGACAAACGAAGAGTCGCTGTCTTATACGATATGTTTATACGTTTCCGTACATGTTATTATCAAATCCCCCGTGGAAAAAGCGAAACGATATTCAGGATAAACCATTTTATGACAGGCTATACTCTTGCAGTCATTGACTGTTCGCGATAAAACGAGTCCGTCAAGAGTGGCACAGTGGATGTGCGATTAGAATTTGAATTCAAAGAAAATGTACCTACGAATACTACTGCCTATTGTCTCATCATACACGATCGCGTGATCGAATACAGCTCAATGTCCAACGTAGTGCGCAAGATTATGTAAAGTTAAACGTTGTGAAAGAAATACCGGTAAAAGTACCGATTAGGGTACCTCCCCCCTTGACATATGTTGTGGTCATGATCCTGAGTAACTTCCAACAAGTTTTAACCGTCGCTCGCCCTTCGTTAAAAAGTTATGAATAAAAGAAAATTTCAAAAATAACGTGTTATTTCGGTACAGTTTTATTCAACATTAAATCATCTAACGGATACATCGTACTCATAATTTCAAAAAAATTTTTTCGTCAAAATTATATATTTTTTTAAATAAAAATTCGGCAAGATGATATATATAATGCTTTTCACGTGTTCCATAACGAGGAATGTTTGCTCGCTTATCCCGCCATACTCTCTCTATATTTTGAGTATGAACACCACTATCGGGATTCACAAAATTTACTGAATAATTCACAGTACAATGAGTATAATTGCTATTATTCTGAAGGTCTTTATATGCACGCCACTGATCCGTATAAATTATTCAACCAGGCAAAACATATTTTTGTGTAATTGGTGATAGAGTATTACTGGATCGATTTGGCACAGGTAGGATAAAAATATTTTTGGTATTACATTCGATACCACCAAAAACCCATTGTCTTTCAATTATACGACCTTTATTATACTTCCTCTTGCCAACTTTTGCTTCGTCCAATTCTACAATGCGACCATTTCCACCAATTGCTTTTTTTAGAACCCATTGTTGAAGTAACTGAAATTAGTTTAATATCTCAACAACTCTTGTTTCGCATGAAAAGTCACAATCGCAATGGTATACATTTTAATAATGTTCACATAATTACCTCTCGGCAAGTCCAATCGACAACACTAGTACTATTCATTTCCAACTCATTCATCAAAAATGGTTGTCGCGGTGGTTGCATCATTAGAAAATAAGCTATAAAGCGACACATATTTTGAATATCTATGCGTACATTTTTAAACCATGTTCCATGAAATACACTTATTTTAAAATTACATGTTATCTTTCGTCGTTTCCGACCTTTAATTACTTCATAATATTTACTAGTACAATGTAATATTTTATTTTCCATACAGCGAAGATTTAACATAGTGTCACATTTTGGACACTTCATTTGATTACGAATTACTTTTTTCTCGCATAAGTAGTTCCATAAAAGATCAGAATTGTTTATAATATTAAGAAATTCATATAAATGCATCTTGAAAATAAAATTTTAAGAAAGTACAATAATATACTAGTAATGAAATATTACTGATACAACTATTCTCACGAAAGTGCGAAGTTATACTGACAATGAAAGACCAATGATACCAAAGTTGAGCAAAAAAACCAAAACACTTCCATGATATTACTGTTGCTATGATTGTACTATTGGTAGAGACCTCTGCCGATAGGGTGGGTGCGGGAAGGGGGCGCTGAAGGCTACCCCATTGCACCCCCCCCCCCC